ACCCCTGTCTTTGGCGCCGAGTTTAGCGCTTCCGGAAGTCGTCTTATACGCCGGCATATACGGTACTAAGTAATGGAAATAAAAACAGGAAAAGAAGTAGAAAATAAAAAGACAGGAAAGGAAAAGAGAAATTGTAAAGAAGTGCATTTTCATATTCTTGACCAGGGTCTTCAAACTTGGCTCTTTTATGATTTGTGGACTTCAACTTCCAGAATTCCTCAGCCAGAGGGAATTTTTTCACTGTCTTGTATCTGTTGTGTTATTTATTGGGTCTCACCTGTCATTGTCACTTCCATTTGTATTTTCTTCGGTTCTGCTCTAAAATATGGAAAAAAAAATCTTGCTTTCTACGTAGATTGTAGTTTGAATCTCTGTTGTTCAAAAGTGAAAATATCCCTTCCAACTTACTCCATCTAAATAGATTGTCTTCAGTTTAAGTTTTTCAGAAAAAATATACATTTTTCTCTTGCATAGTATTTTAATTGAAATTTCCTTAAGTACAATTACATCTGCATTACCAGTCTTCAGTCTAGTATTTAAATGCTTGCTGTAAAATTTGATATCTTGTCTTCTTCCTGATAAAGTGCACAATGACCTCTCTTGAAACATTTCTTAATTTTGAAAAATATGTATTAATTATATGGAACTTACTGATCTCTGTCTTAGTGTCATCTCAAGAGAGGTAACAATCTTTTTCTGAGATAGGTTTTTGATGTTGTCTTGGAACTGCTGTAAATTTTAAGCAAAATTCTTTTACTCTCAGTTTCTAATAAAGGCAAATTGTCCAAACTTTTGTACATCTCTTTATTTATAACTCTTACTTTCCAAAACTTTCACTTTGCCAATATTTTTTTTTCTAGTCTGCAGACAGATGCCCTACAGATACTTCACTCTTCTTCACTTCTTCACTTCTTTCACATCTTTTTTTATTATTCTTGCAAATCCTTCTTCTATTTCCTTTTTAACCATTGCAGGGATCTCTTTGCCAAATTCTTTGAATACTTTCTGCAATGAATCTTGTGAAATGCCTTATCTGTAAGTTGTTCTAGTGAACCCTTGTGTCCTTCTTCTGATTTAGGAGCTTTTCTTTGATTTGCCATTGTGAGATGAAAGCATGTTGATGAAAGTAGTAATGAAAGTAAAAGGCAGGTTTCTGCTTTTTTTCTGTTTTACTTTGCTATGCTCAGCACTTTAGTTCCAATTAGTTCTTCATACTTAATTTTCATAGTTTAGTATATATTATCCCTATCTTCTTGTTTCGTAAACCAATTATATACTGTCCTTAAAAAATAAACAATCAGCATTTCCACAAAAATCTGGTCTGCTCATCTACTTAATTTTGTTATTTTCAAAGGTGCTTTCATAAAAAAATGTTGCTTTGTTTAAAAAAAATCCCTATCTCCTTTATCTATTTAAAAAATTCTTGGATTGTGATCTTATTAAGTTTTTTGCTTTTAGATTAAAATCCTTTCAAATGTTGTTCCCTTTTAAAAAGAAGGCACTTAACGAGAGTCTTTAATTTTCATTGCCATTCAGAATATCTGTCTTAGGTGGTAGAGTAATTACATCCAAAGATGTTTAACAAAGTGAGGCTTATGCTGGTCAGATGTCACTTAAGACAACAGAGCAGTTAAATCTTGGCCTAACTATGGATTAGGAATGCTTAAGGTAAGGTAAGGTGAAGTGAGGTGAGGTGAGATGAGGTAAGATGATAAGATAAGATAAAATAAAATAAGATAGGATAGGATAGGATAGGATAGGATAGGATAGGATAGGATAGGATAGGATAGGACAGGGTAGGGTAGGATAGGATAGGATAGGATAGGACAGGGTAGGATAGGATAGGATAGGATAGGATAGGATAGGATGAGACGAGACGAGACGAGATGAGATAGGATGAGATGAGATGAGGTAAGATAGGATAAGATAAGATAAGGCAAGGCAAGGCAAGGCAAAACAAGACAAGAAAAAGACAAGATGGGATAACCTTTATTGTCTTTTTTTACTGTGGGCACAATGGCACACATCAAAAATGAAATTTAGTTGCCTGCTCTCAAAATGAACACATACATGACACACACCCTAAATATACTATATACAACATATGTATAGACTCACACCCCTACATATACATAACAAATAAATATTAAACACTGTCCATCTTGAATATATAACAGAAGTAGGAAGCTTGAGAGTTCACAAGTTTAATGCTGTATGGAATGAAACTATGGCTGAATCTGGATGTCCTGCTTCACATACCATGGAGCCTCCTCCCAGAAGGTAACAGGGAAAACAGGTTGTGAAGAGGATATATAGTGTCCAGATAATCGTACGGACCCTGCTCAAGGAACACTTCTGTGCTATAACATGGAATATGTGGGGCAAATGCTTCCCAAAAGAGGGGGGAAAACATTATTTGAAACAGCTAAAACAATATATGATCTGCTTACAAGAAACACATATTGGGAAAAATATGTTAAATATTTAAGTCACAAAACCTGAGAGAAGAATTTCCAACTATTTCCAAAACTTATATTGATTAAAGTTGATGGCAGATATATTAGGGTGGAAGTTAATCTATAGAGGGCTAAGACTTTGATATTGGTAATTTATGTCCCCCAATGAAGATAAAACAGCATTTTATAAACATGTTATGGATGCCAATAGAGAATATTTGTAGCTCAGGGTTGAACTATGGAGTCCTTGGTGCTCTCTGAGAGATTTTTTTCCTTGCAGACCTTTCATTACCCAACTAGGTAACCTCTTCAGTGCTAGAAAGGAGTGGATTACACTTCCATGAACACTGAGAGGGCAAGCCACTGTATATAAACACATAATAGTTCCATGTAGCACTGAAGTTGTTGTCTAATTGGTAATGAAAGGTCTGCAAGAAAACAACCAAGCTCAGAGAGCACCAAGAATTCCACAGACTTATGGATAAATTATTGGATCTTAGGTACTGTATGAATGTTGATGTCTCCTCAGGGATTGGAATGGAGTATTTGGGAAAGAATGAGTATGGGAAAGAATATTAACAATATACAGGGTAACTGATCAAAGGTTTTTTTTTTAAAAAAAACAATGGATAATTTGGAGCTTGTTGATACATGGAAATACAAGAAAAAGGTGATTCAAAATTATACGCTTATACTCTTGATTTTTTTCCCCTTGCCATACAAAGTTAGGTATGTCTTTCTCTCATTGTTTCAATGGTGTATCACAGTGATGGCAAACCTTTTAGAGATCGAGTGCCCAAAAACTGGCCCCGCCCCACTCCACCTCCCTGCTCTGCCCCCATCTCCTACCCCGCCTGCCCACAGGACCACTCACTGCCTCCAGGCCCCGCCGCAGATCGCCCAGGCAGCCCAGTGGCGGTGTGGCGGCCACACCTTCTGCCCACGTCCTGCAGCATCAACTGCATGATGGGGTGTGAGGGCAGAGTCTTGTCTATGCTGCCTGACTGCCATGTCCTTGGCTGTGCTGCTCCATGTGGGCCACCTTCGAGAGTGACTCTCCTTCAGGGGGGCTGCTGGAAAGGAGGGGGAGGCAAGGCTGGGGCAATGGCACATGTGCCCACAGAGAGGGCTCCAAGTGCCGCCTCTGGCACCCATGCCATAGGTTCGTCACCACTGGTGTATCAGTTGCTAGAATAGGTATTGTTTGAAACAAAAACATCATTATTGGCAAAACATTTATTTTTTAATCACAGAGGAGGTGAGGAGGGGGCTGTGGAGGGAGTGGGGCTGGGGCAACGGCACATGTGCCTATAGAGAGAGCTCTGAGTGCATGCATGCCATAGGTTCGCCACCACTAGCCTAGGTAGTAATGAATACATCTAGTTGTCTGTGTAACATCTCTTCTCTGGGAACTGCAATTTTTGCCAGTCAGTATTCAGGGGCAATTCAAGTACTATTTTTTTTTTTTTTTTAAATTCTGGTGAGTTCATGAACTGGACCCTGCAGTTTTCTTGGTAACACTGCAGAAGTGGTTAGTTCAGAACTATCAAATGAGAGTTGCAAAAGTACTGAAGATCATTAGATGTCAATAAACTGTTAGGTGTTCTTTATCTCTCTTGACAGTGAGAACAGATAATCAGGGGAACAGCTTATCTCTGGAAGTTGTGGGTGCTCCATCACTGGAGGTTTTCAAGAAGCAATGAGCAAACCATTTGTCCAGGATGATATAAGTTTTTTTGCTTGAGCAGGGGGTTGGGCTAAAAGACCTCCAAAGTCCCTTCTGACTCTGATGTTCTATGTTCTATCTCTTTGCTGCTTACTAATGGCCTTTCTGGATTTTGGCAGCCCAGATATGGCAATGCTAAAATAACGTATATGCCAGCGTATAAGACGACTTCCGGAAGCGCTAAACTCAGCGCCAAAGACGGGGGTCGTCTTATACGCCGAGTCGTCTTATACGCCGGAAATACTGGTAGTTTCCGGCATATAAGACGACGTTCTAGGAAGGCGACTCGGCGATAAAGACGAGGGTCGTCTTATACGCCAGGTCGCCTAATACGCCGGCATAATACGTAGATGGAATGTGAAAAATGAAGTACCAGTTAAATAAATTCTTTCCCATTAATAAGCTACAGGGGACAAGACTATCAGTTCTCTATATCTTTCCCTTTAGGATACAAATTATTTCTAGGCAATTTGCAGACATCAACAATAATATAATACTTTTATTAATATTTTTTTTAAAAATTGTATTTTCTCCTACAGGGAGACTTGTGGTTGTTTATTCAGCCATCCTCTAGCAAACATCAAACATGTCCAATTAGCACAGAGATACACTGATGAAAAACTTGCAAACTAATGTTTACTTGCCCAAGACACAGATGTTTCTTTGAAAAGATTCAAGCAGGGAAATGCCAAAAACGGAACAGAACAACAACAACAAAAAAAATATGGAGCTCCAGTAATTGAAAAGATCCTATCAATGATCTTGCTTGCATGATAAAATGAGGCACACATTAACTTTTCCAATGTTCTCCTCCACAGATTCTGTACATAAAAGGGCTGAACATGTCACTCCGTTTTGGACAACATCTTATCAAGCCTTCTCTTGTGTTTCTGAAGACAGAGCTTTCTTTTGCACTTGTGAACAGGAAACCTGTGGTCCCAGGCCGTATCCTTTTTCTTTCTTTCTTTCTTTTTTGTGGTTAGGAAGTATCAAGTATAACAGATGGCTTTGGATCTCTGGCTATCTGCCTGGAAGTGGGCACCGTTCCTCGCTTCTTGCAGAAGAACAGGTAAGATGTTATTCATATTTATTCTGAAGCCAGTCAGTGGAACATAATATGCTTGATCAGTGTTGCAGAACTTTTGAAAGAGGTTGCTTAGCAACAGTGACCAAATAGGTGATTTTTCTCCTGACCTTTTCACCAAAGGGAGATATATAAATAAACAGGCATTTAGCATTTTTTTTTAAAAAAGGAGTTGAAAGTGCTTTAAAGATACTCTCTGTTTTAATTTCTGCGTTATTGGACCAGGAATTAGCCTTTTGTGGGTTTCAGTGTGTACGAGGGACAAATTCAGCTGGAATGGCTAATTTCCCAGGTGAGCAATGACTTTTTGAGGGAACAACCAAGACTCAACATTAAGTCATATGCTCTTATGCCAGAAAGTCCTAGGATCAGTCTGAGATACCTAGTAGCATATAATGAGACAGTCCTCTGCTTGAGTTCCTAGAAAGTTCTCAAAGTCAGAAATGTTGCTCTCGGCAGACAAATAGCTGAATCTGACATAAATAGCTTCCTAGGTATGAAAAGGTGCACATGGAGTAATAATTGTTTTGGGAGATTTGGGTCCTGGAATACGACGTGAAATCTCAGATAGACAAGACAGTGTTCAAACCTAATGGGTGGATTGGTTCCTTTGTTTACATCTAAGCTAGCTTTTTCTTTATGAAAGTTAGCATTAAACTTTCAAAGCACAATTTGATCAGTTAAAGATATTAGAACAAGCACCCTCCAGATGTGTGGACTTCATCTCTGAGAATTCTCCCCCCAATATATCTATACATTTGTTTTTCTGGCTAAGGAATGTTGGGAGTTGAGGTCCACAGGTCTTAAAATGATCAAGATTGAGAAACATTGTCTTAGACTGATCTTCAGCTGGTGGCAGCAAAAAAACGCCCATCTCTTCAATAGCACAACTGGAAACACTGGCCCATGTGAGGCATCTGGAAAATCCCAGCAGTACTTCCTCTGGATTTTGAGTTATCTTCTTTTCTCCTGGATGTTTTTAATTATTAAGTCTAATTAATAGATGTTGCGGATAATGGATGGTGGATTCATTTTTACAGTGCCCAAATCCCATATTTATAAAGAAATCAAATACATAGTTCAGAAACAGTGATCTTTCCAATAGTGGTGAACTTTATTAGCCTAGAAAGTACTGATATGGCTGTCAATAGCTGCCAATTATGATGACCATATATTACTACTTACATTGGAAACACTTTTCTCCCAGGGCCAATTGCTGGAGAATGCCATGGTTACAGAGGCTTGTGCTTCTGCTTGCTGCCTATGGTTTATTCATGGTGTACTTGATTGGCCATTATGGATTCCAAATAATTAGGCCTTTGGAGTGATCCAAAAAAAGGTTGTTCCCTGTAATGGCCCAAGCTTCATGGAATAGCCTTCCATTGAGTATTGATTATCCTTCATGAAATAGAGCTTCTGGAAAGCAGTAAGGATGGAATGCTTCCGGAGGGATTTGGGGCCTTGATGCTTATCTTGGATGGAAATATTAACATGAATTTATGGTGTAAGGTACTTATATGCTTAGTCAAGTCGTTGGCTGTTTTTGATCTTATTGTGCGCATTTTAATGTTTAATCTTGGAGACCTTATAGCAGTCATGTAAATTATTACTGTGGAGGATTATCTTGTTTTACTATGGTGTTGCTACCATTGCTATTTTATGTTTTATATGGATTGTAAGCTGCTGTGAGTTCATGTGGATTTGATTAACACAAAAATTTAACAAAAAAATGCATAAGTAAATGTAATCATACAACAGCTGCCAAGCATCTGCTTTAAAAGCTAAACTTTGGACCTCAGTAAACAATGCAGAGCGATACATGCTTCCCAATTAGATTATAATATGGATGATTTTACATTAGTATTTAATGCATTAAATGAATCTTTAAAGCAAGTGATCCCACCTGTTTATTTTAACAGAATTCTTTTTTGTTGAACTGTGTAATCACATGTGAGTGTTTCGTATGTTCCTCATGTTGCAATTTGTAATAATGCATGTATTGCATTTTGCACTGTTGAGTAAGTGTTTACTTAAAGAGAAACATCCTATCCAGCATTTAACTAAGAGAGACAAATTGAGGGGTGGGGAAAGGAGAAGAAAGGCTTTACAGTGTGTGTGTGTGTATTAAAAAAAAAATCAAGATTGTGGCTTTGTCCACATGATTGAAGCTCTTCCTCTTTTTATGTACATCATACTGTCCAGCAGATGTCCCTGGGTGGGGTATTACCCTGATGAAAGCAGAACAGGATAAGAAAATAAAGTGCTTGCAAACCAGGAAAAGATACCCATAAAGGAACATTCGCCTGTCTTGGCAGGAAATATATTTCCTATGTTTTACAGCAGTAATTTTAACTACTTGGGTCTGACTCACTTAGAGAATGCCTTATGATATATATCTATTGCCTAGAAGACAATGACATATTAACATTTTTGAATTTCTGTAAGTTGCAGACAAAAAGAATGGCATTAAAAGCTGATTCCATTCAGATGTCAGGTTAATTAACTTTTGTGTTTTGAAATATTCAGGTTTCCAAAGAGGAGGGGCAGACATTTAGGCTGCAGGGGGGGGGGGGATTATTCATAGAATGAGCCATGTTCTGAGAAGGCTGCCTAGCATGAACTGCTGGAAACATCAACAGCTCCAAGGCAGGAGAGTAAAATTTAGCATACACCAGTAGGCTTTCTTAGCTACTCTCATGTCAACATATTGTAATGTTTAATATGCGCATACAAATTTTATTGATTAAGACTTCCTCTTTCTCCAATTGATAAGCCTGCACATTCAATCATGTATTTCCTTTGTTACAACACTGGGGTTAATACATCTTCAAATTCAATTAGGCATATTTGATTTAAACAAATAGCTTCAAAATCCAATCTAGCCTGTGTGTGTAATTTTGGATTCATAAATGATCTTGTTTGACCTGTTTTCCAATCTCTAGGTTTGATTTCTTTTCTCTTTTAGGGTCTTTATTTTATTCATTTCTCTCCCATATCTATAAACTAGACAGCATTTATTTTAGCTCCCTGAACTTGTGATTGTGATTCTGCATTCTGTGATTATTTTGTAGACTGGTTCATTTTTGCTGGCTTTTGAAACTGGAACCACAGTATGGCTTTACAGAGGGTTCTCAATGAGTCTTGCTCAGGGATTTTTGTCCCTATGTGAGAGAAAGTTAATCATGTTCATCTTTCATTATCCCCATTGACAAGACAACATTGACAAGAAGAGGCTGTTGCATACGCATTAATTGTCCTTGTCAGTTACAATCCTATGTGATCCAGTTTGGAAGCCATAACAAAAATCATTCCCTCTGTGTCTAATTATTCCTTAGAAGATAATTTTTGTAGCTCAGGGTTGAACGTGGGGTTATTACCCATCTATGTAACATCATCAATTCTACACGAGCACTGATGATGTTAGCTAGTTGGGTAATGAAATGTCTGCAAGAAAGCAACCAAGCTCAGAGAACATCAAGGAACCCACAGTTTCTTCCTTCCTGCCTGTCCTCAAAGAATGAATTGGATGAAGAAGGAAGCTGAGTGTCAGATGACAAGAGGACAGGACCAGAATGCATGGACAGATTACCAGTTCATGTGATATTATTGGGATGGGAAGAAGGAAATGATTAGATGATAAGGCACTCAGTAATCACTCACCATGATGACTCAGTGGCAACTAATCACAACTGGAAGTACAAGCCTTGTGAATGCCTATTTCTAAAGGATAACTGAATATTAACTGTCCATATATCTTGTTTGTGATACAATAATATCAATAACTATGTGAGAAAGATCCTAGGTGAACAAAATATACTGGGTCTTTGATTGTATGCCCAGAATTTGATTGTATGCCCATTAAATCTAAATTTTGACTGCTTGATTCCTTGTCTTCATGCCAATTTAATAATAATTCATTATTTCCTTGTTGTTTGATGTTTTCTCAGCTGGAGACATATTTAAAAGTTTCTGAAAGACAAGACTTACATAAACAAGAAAATACAGTACTGACTGAGAAGGGCCTCTGAGGGAATAGCTGAGTTTCAGATGCCTCAGTAGTCAAGCTAGACTTGTTTACACAGCCATTATCTTGTGATAACAATCCCTTAATCCGAGAAGGTCAAAAACCAAAGTTTGCTTGTTTGAAATATATTTTAGAGAGAAACTCTGAACTTCTTTGTGTGCTTGAGGGATTTCGTGGACAGGTAGAAGATTTTTAAGAGACCTTTTATTGAGTATCTGAACTTCAAGATGTGCTTGAACTTGCTTGTTGAATAAAGACTAAACGAGAATTGTAATAAATAAAATGAAGCAGAGCTGTAGAAACCACAGAGCGATTGCTTTATCCCAAAGGTATGTGCTTCAAATATGACCAATAAAAGAATAGTTTTAATTAAAAATGTATAGTTGGGAGATGAATGGTGTTGAATGAAATCTAGGGAATATTTTATTATTACCTTCTCACAATCTGTGTTCAGTGATTGTGTTTGTGTATTTTGGACCAGCAAGGCAAGAAATACATAATACTGTATAATAATGAGTTGTTCTGACAATGACTAGTTTAAAAGATAAGAATAATTTAAATCCAGCTTTTTCTTGTGGTAAAATAGCCTTCTTCAACTGCCATTTAGAAAACTCCCAATCAGCATGGAGATGATTGGTTTAAATGTTCAAAACATTTCAAAAATATATATTCCTGTTTCTTACCTAAGAAATACATCACTTTATGGCCACCTTTTTTTTTTACTTAAAATATACTTCAACAAGTTTCTATTCAATATTTATAACAACTATGACTTAACATAATATATTTCTTTGGAGAACATTGGATTTTTTTTAAAAAAATACTTTTTAGTAAAGA